ATTTAGGATCGTTAGCTCTTCTTGTTGTATCAATCCTTTACCATTATGTAATGTCCTTCTTTGTCTCTTTTGATCTTTGTTGCTTTAAAGTCTATTTTATCAGAGATGAGAATTGCAACTCCTGCTTTTTTTTGCTCTCCATTTGCTTGGTAAATCTTCCTCCATCCCTTTATTTTGAGCCTTTGTGTATCCTGATATGTGAGATGAGTTTCCTGGGTACAGCACACCAATGTGTTTTGGCTTTTTATCCAATTTGCCAGTCTGTGTCTTTTCATTGGTGTATTTAGCCCATTTACATTTAGGGTTAATATTGTTATGTGTGAATTTGATCCTGCCATTTTGAGTCTTGTTGGCTGTTTTGCTCATTCGTTGATGCAGATTCTTCATTTTGTTGATGCTGTTTACCATTTGGTATGCTTTTGGAGTGGCTGGTACTGGTTGTTCCTTTCTATGTGTAGTGACTCTTTCAGGAGATCTTGTAAAGCAGGCCTGGTGGTGACAAAATCTCTGAGTACTTGCTTGTTTGCAAAGGATTTTATTTTTCCTTCACTATGAAGCTTAGTTTGGCTGGATATGTAATTCTGGGTTGAAAGTTCTTTTCTTTAAGGATGTTGAATATTGGCTCCGACTCTCTTCTGGCTTGTAGGGTTTCTGCCAAGAGATCTGCTGTGAGTCTGATGGGCTTACCTTTGTGGGTAACCCAACTTTTCTCTCTGGCTGCCCTTAGCATTTTCTCCTTCATTTCCACCCTGGTGAATCTGACAATTATGTGCCTTGGGGTTGCTCTTCCTGAGGAATATCTTTGTGTTGTTCTCTGTATTTCCTGGACTTGAATATTGGCCTGCCTTGCTAGGTTGGGGAAGTTTTCCTGGATAATATCCTGAAGAGTATTTTCCAGCTTGGATTCATTCTCTTTGCAACATTCAGGTACACCTATCAAACGTAGATTAGGTCTCTTCACATAGTCCCACATTTCTTGGAGACTTTGTTCATTTCTTTTTGCGCTTTTTTTTTTCTAATCTTGCCTTCTCATTTTATTTCATTGAGTTGATCTTCGACCTCTGATATCTTTCTTCTGCTTGGTCAATTCGGGTGTTGAAACTTGTGCATGCTTCGCAAAGTTCTCGTGTTGTGTTTTTCAGCTCCATCAATTCACTAATATTCCTAAGTTGTCCATTCTTGTTATCATTTCCTGAAATCTTTTTTCAAGGTTCTTAGTTTCTTTGCATTGAGTTAGAACATGTTCTTTTAGCTCACAGAAGTTTCTCATTACCCACCTTCTGAAGTCTGATTCTGTCATTTCATCACACTCATTCTCCATCCAGCTTTGTTCCCTTGCTGGTGAGGAGTTGTGATCCTTGTGGGAGGAGAGGTGTTCCGGTTTCGGGTATTTTCCTCCTTTTTGCGCTGGTTTCTTTTCATCTTTGTGAATTTATCCACCTGTTGTCTGTGTAATTGCTGACTTTTCGATTGGGTCTCTGAGTGGATGGCCAGATTGTTGATGATGAAGTTATTTCTGTTTCTTAGTTTTTCTTCTAACCATCTGGCCCCTCTGCTATATGACTGCTGAGTTCCACTCCAGGCCCTGCTTGCCTGGGGATCACCTGCAGCAGCTGCAGAACAGTAAGGGTTGCTACCAGTTTCTTCTTCTGCTATCTTTGTCCCAGAATGATGCCCACCAAATGTCAGTCTGATCAGTCCTTTGTGAGGTGACTCTTTGGATATACGGGGGTCAGAGAGCTGCTTGAGGAGACAGTCTGTTCTTTATAGGAGCTCAAGTGCTGAGCTGTGAGCTCCATTGTTCATTCAGAGCTTCTAGGCAGGTATGTGTAGGTCTGCTGCAGCAGAACTCATAAACCCCCTTTTTTTCCCCAGGTGCTCTGTCCCGGGGAGTTAGGGCTTTATTTATGAGTATCTGTTGTGCTACTGCCCTTTTTTTTTTTTTGGGCTGTCCTGCCCAGCAAGGAGGCAGCCTAGTCACTGTCTGCCTGCAGAGGCTTTGTGAGCTGCTCTGGGCTCTGCCCTGGTGCCCTGTGTACTTCCCTGAAGTCCTGTTTATATGGGTGTGGTTAGAACTACCTGGGCAATGGTGGCCCGCCTCTGTAATGGCGGACTCTCTCTGTTATGGCGGGTTGCCTTGGCAGCAGCAGGTTGCCTCGGCAACGGCAGGCTGAGTCAGCAATGGTGGACTACCTCTGTAGGGGTGGAGTGCCTCGGTAATGGCGGACACTCCTCCCCCACAGGCCTGGACCGTCCTGGGTTCAGCTGTGCTTGCATTTAACATTTTTTAAGAGTGATATTAACAACCGTTTTTGATGTGTGTGGGAGTGCTTCTGGGCATTGGGGGTTGTGGTCTTGTCAAACAATATTGTTGCTCTGGCACTGCACAGACAACTTTGGTTTGAAACTTTAGTATTTCATTGACCATCTTCGTCTATATTAAGTTCTCCAGAGGCCATGAGTTTGTGGCTTGAATTTTCATATCTCATGTAAAATGGGAAAATAATTAATTAAAACAGGAGGATAATTAATTTTGTAAAAATTATTTTCTATGGATTTATTTGAATGGGCATTTAAATCCATTATTATACATAAAATATTAATGGGTAGAAAACAAAATTCAAGTAGATTTTATAGAGAAACTCTAAAGTATTAGGGTTCTCCAGAGAAACAGAACCAATAGGGTATATATAAATATGTAGAAAGAGATTTATTATGAAGGACAGGCTCACACAATTATGGAGGCCATGAAGTCCCACCATCTGCCATCTGCAAGCCGAAGAACCAGAAGAGCTGGTGCTGCAGTTCTAGGTCAAGCCTGAAGGCCTGAGAACCAGGCGAGCTGGTGGTGTAAGTCCTAGTCAGAGTCTGAAGGCCCAAGAACCAGGCGTGCTGATGTCTAAAAGTAGGAAAAGACGGATGTCCCAGATCAAGAAGAAGGCTTCAGCCTTTTTGTTCTATTCTGGCCCTTAACGGATTGCAGGATGCCTGCCCACATTGGCAATAGGGATCTTCTTTACTCAGTCTACTGATTGAAATGCAAATATCTTCCAGAAACACCCTCACAGACATACCCCAAAATGATGTTTCACCAGCTGCCTGGGCATTCCTTAATCTAGTTGAATTGACAAATCAGATTAACCATCACACTCAGCATCTTATTTGGAGCATCATTTAAATAATTTTGGTTTCCAAGACATTGCAATTACTGGAGCCTTGTATTTTCCGTAGATACATCAAGGGATTTGTTTTCTTTTTGTTTTTTAAAGCTATCAAAAAGTTAGAGGGAGAGGCAGCAAGAAGTCTTAGGGAAATAGGCTTGTGAGAAACAAGGAAGTAGTCATGCGTTGCTTAACAACGGGACACATTCTGAGAAATGTGTCGTTAAGTGATTTTGTCGTCGTTCAAACCTTCTGGAATGTACTTGCACAAACCTAGATAGTCTAGCCTACTACTCACCTAGGCTCTATGGTATGGCCCATTGCTCCTGGCCTCTAAACCTGCACAACATGTTACTGTACTGAATACTGTAGGCACCTGTAACACAGAGGTATTTGTGTATCTAAACAGAAAAGATACAGTAAAAATACAGTATCACAATCTTACAAGACTGCCATTGTATATGGAGTTCACTGTTGACTTAAACATCATTTTGTGAGGCATGGCTGTATTTACTTTGGACTACCCCCGACAGGGTCTTATACCACCTACTAATACCGAGTAACAATCCAAACTCATCGTGTCCCTCCCTTCCTCCTAAAACCTGAACATTCTGCTCAGGTGATTTCCTTGTGATCTGCAGCTGGTGGCCCTGTTCACCTGGTCATGGCTCCAAGCCATGGCCTGACTGGGGACCCTTTCATTGCTCCTCACCTCCAAAAGAGCCAGACCCGCAGGTTCTGCCTGCCTTAGCAATGCTGACCAGCTCTGCTTTCTTTCCATTTACTTTCTCTTTTCCCACTGTCTCTGCCCCAGTGTCCGTCATTTCTCTCCCGGGCTACTGCAGAGGTTCCCAATGGCCTCTGGGCTCCTCATCTTCTCTCAACTGCTTGCAGATTAATTTTGCCTACCTAAAATTCATGTTTTCTCAATGATTATTAAATAAAATTCCAGCGTCTCAGCTTCAGGAGGTGCTCCACCAGAAGGCACCAAGTTACCTTTTATATTCAATGTCATCATCTTCTCTTGACAATGGTAAAAAGGGGACTGTACACTCTTAATATGAACCCTCTCCTTAATTCTTTGCTCTTGTTCTTTCTGTAAATGCTGTGGGCCCCAATCCCACCCATCCTTTAGGACTTATCTTAAATGCTGCCGCCCCTGTGAAGATTTTCCTCCTGACCTCCTTTTTTGTCTAGCAGACATGTTGTTTCTCTCTTTGGTGGCTCACTGAACTTTGTATCCCTCGTGCTATTTAATCACAACTGGTTTTTTTTAACATAGCATGGGTGTACTTAACCTTATTCCTGCATTTTTTGCTAGCTGGACTTGAATAAATGGTTGTACAAATCCCTTGGGAAAAAAGTATTCAAGATAGGAAAGGTCAAAATTACAGTGTTACCAGATACAATGTAAAGCTACACAGAATTTAAACAATTACATATATATAATACATACATGTTTGTATATTTATTATTTTGCTAAGATGGCTTTGTTCTACTATTGAAGGATACAGAAGTGTGGCATTACTTTTTATTCATGGCTGCACCTAAAAAATTATTTGCGTCCCAGAAGATAATTTGAGGACATAAAAATGCTCCAACATCTCTTTCATTCGGGGTCTTGCCTAAAAACGCCGACAAACGCTATGTTTGAGAGGGGAGGCTACGCTGAGGCGCGGGAGGAGACGGGCCCTTAAGAACCTTCCAGAGATGTCTTAACTCGGGCTAACAGCTCGCCGAGCCAGGGCAGGCAGAGGGGTGCGGGGCGCGCTCCTTCCAGGACTTCCCAGTCCCCAAGAACCAGGCCGACCGGTTCCCACCGCCGACTCCCGCCTCCCTCGGCAGGCCCCGGGCCCCTGCGCCGCGCGCCCTCTCCCCGGCGGGGGCCTGGAGGGCAGGGTGGGCGCGGGCGAGGGTCGGGGTCCCGGAGGCGGGAGGCAGCGCGCAGTCGGGGTTTCCAGGTGAAGGGCAGGAAAACAACCGGTCGGTCTGGGCGGAGCCGGGCGGGCGGGGCGAGGGCGGAGGGCGCATTGCCTCATCCTGTACATTTTACTGGAAACCGGACGCATCCGGAGGAGGGGCTGGGAGGTGGCCGGGGCACCGCCAATGGCCGGGCCGGGCGCCGGGGAGGCCGGCAAGGGCAGCGGCCGGTTAAATACCCTGGCAGCTCGGGGCGCGCCCGTACCCGTCCGCGCCGTGCGCCCGCCGACAGCTCCCCGAGCCCGCCCGCGAGGCAGCCGCGCGCAGCGAGCCGGTGGCGCAGGTGTCGGGTCCCCGAGCGCGCAGCCCGGGAGCATGATCGTGGACAAGCTGCTGGACGACAGCCGCGGCGGAGAGGGGCTGCGGGGCGCGGCGGGCGGCTGCGACCTCATGACCAGCCCGCTCAACCTGGCCCACTTCTACGGCGCGTCGCCGCCCGCCGCCGCCTGCGACGCCAGCTGCTCGGCCTCGGGCCCCTCGGCGCCCGGCTCGCCCGGCTCCGACTCCTCCGACTTTTCCTCCGCCTCGTCGGTGTCCTCCTGCGGCGCCGTGGAGTCCCGGCCGAGAGGCGGCGCCCGCGCCGAGCGCCAGCCAGGTACCCGCCGTCCCCACCGCTGCGTCCTCGGGGCGCGCGCGCGCCTGGGAGGGTGGGAGCGGGACTCGCCGATGGGGGGTGGCCGCTGCGCCCTGCTGAGCCCTCGTGAGCGGCGGGGCGTGCGCACCTTCGTCAGCGGTTACCTGGAGACCGCGCCCTGCCTGGTCTGGGCCTGCCCGCCTCGCCGGCCCGCGGGCCTCGGGGCTTCGGAAACGCCCAGCCCAGCGCTGACTGCGGGGCCAGTGACCCGGAGATCGCTCACTGTCTGAGCAGAGCTTTGTTGAGGCGTAGTTAATATACTGCGATGAGAGGTCTGATGTAGGTGTAATTTTCTTCTTGTAACTATTTTAGTGAGAAACTGTAGTTACGGGATAAGGGTTTGGGAACTGTGTTAAAGGTCATGACTTACTTCTTCCTATTTATGGAAGTTTTAAGTGAAAAGATTTTGCTGTCCAAGAAAAGAAACTGCTGTTTTCAAGGTGAAGCCGGGCTGAAAACCAACTCAAGTTTTGCCATTAGTTTGGCGAGTTTCGGAAGTCTGCCCAGAATTTCTGAGGTCTTGTTTTTGTCCTGTGTGCCTTAAAAAAAATGGATAAGCCATAAAGAAAGACGTTATCTTTTGTCGGGTGCGAATTGGTTAGTTTTCTCTTAGTGAACCGAGTTGCATAATTGGGGGGAGGGGGGAAGAGGATGCCCCTGTGGGTAGGCTAGAAAAACGCCTCAACTGAACCTTGAGAGTTTTTTAAAGAAGTCTCCTTCCGGTGTTTCCCACTCTTAACTTCTGTTTTGGTTGTCATTTATTTTAAAAAGTGATTTCTCATTTTCATTTTAAGTCATTTAAAATCCTGTAAAAAGTGATTTAAACCACTGCTTGCTAAGCGTGTAGCAGATCCAGAAAGAATGTGTGTATAGGACCTTTTCTCCCACATTAGGCCTTCATCTGGCGGAAACTTTGCCAGGCCCTTGGTTTACCACACAGCCGCAGGGGATTTCTGAAACTGCATTTTTTTCTCTCTGTGACGTTGGATTACTAACTGTTGTCATTCCAGAGAAATGCTGTATCTTAGATTTTGCCAATTCTGATATCTTTTGAAATCCCTAAACTCAAAAATAAAGCCAACTAATGTTTCACTTACCCTGCCATTGAACTGTTTATTTCATGTATTTAGGATAGATACATATGTTCAAATTATGAGTTGTTTTTTGGCCCATCTTATTTTTTTCTACACTTGATGGAGTGACTGAATTATTCATTTCCTGACTTTCTGTGAATTTGTCTTCAACACACATACTAAGAGGTTGTGACATAATAGTGATCAGAAGTGAAGTACTGTATTTCTATACTAAATGCTAAAGTGGATTTCAGAATTTAAAAGTGAAACAAGCATATTTCCTTTTTACTTAGAAGACCCGTGTAAGTAATTCCAAAAACAGTCAGTGAGGGGAAATCCTGTGTGCTTATGTGGAAATGTGTTTAAGCTCGGTGAATTTAAGCAGCTTTCTTGCCACAGTTGAATTGAAGGAAATAATAAGTCATAAATCTAAGACATTGTTAATTGTCAGGTTTTGGTACATTGAGATCTTTGAAGGAAGTTGTTTTGTGCCTTCTTAGGTGAGTGGAGTTAATAGACTTTAAAATTTCGATGTGAACATAAAACCATTGGTTTAAACAACTAAAAATGTGCCATTTATCACTTGCTCCCCAAGGTTTTTCAAAAGTCAAGAATAATTGCAGAGCTATGAGAGTCACAATGGCAAAATCTATGATCCATTCTCATGGGTGGTTGGAGCTGAGAGGGAGAGGCTTGATTTGGGTTTATCTATTGGCTCTGAGGATCCTTGACCACATTTTTATGAACGTTAATTTCTTAGGGTACCCAGTAGAGAAAGGTATCAGGCAACGTACGACTCTTGAGCAGAGCTGGGGACTCACAAGGCCATTGATTGACCAGAGCGAGTTAGAAAGATTTTGCAGTCTGCTGCTTGGGGAGTTTATGCATTAGGCAACAGCTATACTTTGGGGATTATTAACGTTTCTGTCTGTGAAGCTCTTTAACCAGGAGGATGTTTTGTTTTCTTTTGAACAGTTGAGCCCCATGTGGGGGTTGGCAGGCAGCAGAGAGGCCCCTTTCAAGGTGTTCGGGTAAAGAACTCGGTGAAAGAACTCCTGTTGCACATCCGAAGTCATAAACAGAAGGCTTCCGGCCAAGATTTTAAGGTGATATCATCTTTCTGTTTTGAGTGTGGGGTGGTGGGGAGGGGTTAGTCTGTCAGGGTTATGATGACCTGGGTCCGGTCATCAAGTAAGTCACTTGGAATTTTTCATAGATGACAAAGTTCATAGGGCAGAGACCATATTTGTCTTGTCTGCCGTAACCTACTACTTAGCCCAGTACCGGACACCTGGTGTAGGTGGGCAAGAGAAACTTAATGAATGAATAAATGAAGGCAAGTTCAGGGACTCAGTTGAAATGGAACATTTTAACTCGAAGGGGAAAAAAATCAAATGGTCTTATTAATTTCATCTTGACCTGCATTGAGCTAAGGTGAAAGTGAAAATGAGGAAGTTTCAAGATAGAATAAAAATTGATATAGAAAATAAATATTGATAGAAAAACCATATCAGAGATTTATGGTAAGCTATAAAGGGTGGTGGAGATAAGCCTACTTATTGATGTACATTAGGAGGAAGTCATATACACTAACTTGGAAACTTTTTTTTTAATAGACACAAGGTGTGAACATAGAGCAGTTTACAGGTAAGAGTCACTTGTATTCATCACGTTTTTGGGGCTTTAGAGTAAAATAATATAGTATAATTGTGGGTAATGTTTATAAAATAAAATGATCACAGAGGTTGTGTTTCTTTTTTGGGTACAGAATTGAAGAACGCACTATCATATAGTGGGAAAAGGAAAGGGCCCGATTCATTTTCTGATGGACCAGTTTGCAAAAGGCCAGCTCTGTTGCATTCCCAATTTTTGGTAAGTATCTCACTGTTTTCCTCTCACTCCCCTTTGGGAATTACTCCTGGGGTAATTTTAGAAGGAAAAGAGTGTACAAGTTGCATTTTCTTTCTTTCCAGACACCACCTCAAACACCAACCCCTGGGGAGAGCATGGAAGATGTTCATCACAATGAACCCAAGCAAGACAGCAGTGCTGATCTGCTCCAGAACATTATCAACATTAAGAATGAATGCAGCCCTGTGTCCCTGAACACAGTTCAAGTTAGCTGGATGAGCCCTGCGGTGGTCCCTCAGAGCTCCCCGGCAGAGCAGTGTCAGGACTTCCATGGAGGGCAGGTCTTTTCTCCACCTCAGAAATATCAGCCATTCCAAATCAGTGGCTCCCCACAAATGATAGACCAGGCTTCCCTGTACCAGTATTCGCCACAGAACCGGCACGTAGAGCAGCAGCCGCACTACACCCACAAACCCACTCTGGAATACAGTCCCTTTTCCAGACCTTCCCAGTCCCCGACTTATGAACCAAACCTCTTTGATGGTCAAGAATCACAGTTTTGCCCAAACCAAAGTTTAGTTTCCTTCCTGAGCAGTCACGGGGAATCTGAGAGTATTGCTCATCCCATTCAGACTTCCTCCAGTGTTCAGCCGCAAAATGGTGCCCACTTGCACAACTTCAGCGTGATGCCCAACAGCGCCTGTGACGCTATGGCGGGGCACGAGATGGCCCCCGACTCTTCAAACACGCCACTGCCGTTTTCTAACATTGGAAATCCAATGAACACCACACAGTTAGGGAAGTCATTTTTTCAGTGGCAAGTGGAGCAGGAGGAAAGCAAATTGGCAAATATTTCCCAAGACCAGTTTCTTTCAAAGGATGCAGATGGTGACACGTGAGTCTCCTTTTATTTCATGTTCTCAATTTGGTAAGCCACACTTGTTGGAATAGTGAGCCTAGACTTTTTCTAGGGTACACCAAGGTATACCTTAGTTAGTGGTTGGGTAACCAAGATGACTAGTGTAGACAGAAGGCGCCACTCAGTGATAGCTAATATGTCAGGAAAGGGTTTTCCTGCAGAAATTGTTTTTGGCTGAAGAAATAACCTGTTCTAAATTGATAAAAATATCTGTGTCTTCTTGAATAATTGGGTTTGGAAGACCAGCTTAGACTATGCCTGTAGAACAGAAACGATTAGATCATGATTAGGGATAAACTGTGAGTTGGTTTGTAGATCTTAATCTGTCCTGATGTCTTTGTGGCCTTGGGCAAGTTATTGACCCTCTTCATGTCTCAGTTCCTTGACATGGAAAATGATAATATCTCCCGTATAGGAGTTTTATGAGTATTAAAAATAATAGACTCAAAGTGATCAGCATGGTGCTTGACGTTGTTTTTCTTATTTCTGATAGCCCAACTCATCCTGCTCCAACTGGGATATATTATCAGTGTAGCAGGAAAGACAAATTATCCTTTGTAATATTTCTCTTGAGTATACCAATATATAAAAAGGGGCTAAAGGAATATTTTTTTTTAAGAGGAATTTAGCGAAATCAGAAATAATTCACCTCTTTTCCTTTCCTTCTTTCCCAGGTTCCTTCATATTGCTGTTGCCCAAGGGAGAAGGGCACTTTCCTACGTTCTTGCAAGAAAGATGAATGCACTTCACATGCTGGATATTAAGGAGCACAATGGACAGGTGAGGGCCTTGGCAGAGTCTGAGACGGCAAAGAGGGGGTCGTGGTGAAGTAAATGATGACCAGCCTCCTGTGTGGATCATCTCAGAGCTCAAAATCAAGAGCCTTTCGTTAATATTAACTTTGAGATATTGACTTTTTGCCACCGGCAACCTTGAGGTTATTAACATTAACTTTGTAGCTATTTGACCAAACACTGAGGGTAATAAAGCCACACCCTAGGCTTATTTTGGTTTCCTTGTCTTGCAGAATCTGATTGCTTATTAAAAGGATTTATTCTCTCTCTGTGGGTTTTTCCCTCAGTTTAGTTTCCTATTCCTTGTTATGATAACATTGTTTGTTTAAAATGACTTTTTTTCTCTGAATATCCACAGAGTGCCTTTCAGGTGGCAGTGGCTGCCAATCAGCATCTCATTGTGCAGGATCTGGTGAACCTCGGGGCGCAGGTGAACACCACCGACTGCTGGGGAAGAACACCTCTGCATGTCTGTGCTGAGAAGGGTCATTCCCAGGTGCTTCAGGTGAGAGGCAGCAAACCAGGCTTCCGTCATCGCAAGGCCAGAGAGATAGAGTTGGATGTTAGAAGTTGGAAATAGGTTGCCTGTTGAAATAATCTGTTTTGAGTTAACATATTCATTTCTTGGGGATTCTAATAGGTATCAATGCAGCTTGTGATGCTAACAGATGTCTGTTTTTAAAATCTGCAGGCGATTCAGAAGGGAGCTGTGGGGAGCAATCAGTTTGTGGATCTTGAGGCAACTAACTATGATGGTAAGCAACTGAAACTATTAGATTCAGAGCCCTTAGAGAGGGGGACCCGTAAGGTCGAATAGTACTAAGTATCATCCTAAGCAGGAAGGGAGATGATTAAAGCTAAAATATTCTGTAGGCCGGGCGCGGTGGCTCACGCCTGTAATCCCAGCACTTTGGGAGGCCGAGGCAGGTGGATCACGAGGTCAAGAGATCGAGACCATCCTGGTCAACATGGTAAAACCCTGTCTCAACTAAAAATACAAAAAATTAGCGTGCCTGTAATCCCAGCTACTCAGGAGGCTGAGGCAGGAGAATTGCCTGAACCCAGGAGGCGGAGGTTGTGGTGAGCCGAGATCGCACCATTGCATCCCAGCCTGGGTAACAGAAGCGAAACTCCGTCTCAAAAAAAAAAAATATTCTGTAGTTAAAATTAGCACCGAGACCCAATGAAGGGACTATTTTCAGACTGCCTTAGTCCCGGTGGAGCCCATTTGTGAGTAAAGTTAGAGGCCATCCTTAACGTTCGTCGTTAGAGAAGGACCAAAAGACCTGACGGGATACTTGACCACTGCTTGATTATACTTTTCTTCCAGGCCTGACTCCTCTTCATTGTGCAGTCATAGCCCATAATGCTGTGGTCCATGAACTCCAGAGAAATCAACAGCCTCATTCACCTGAAGTTCAGGAGCTTTTACTGAGGAATAAGAGTCTGGTTGATACCATTAAGTGCCTAATTCAAATGGGAGCAGCAGTGGAAGCGAAGGTAGGTTCACAGAAAAGGTCTGAGATGGGATAGGGGAGAAAGTGGTTCTAGCAAAAGACCTTGCTTCCAAGTACAGATTCAAACTTCCTTTTTTCTTTTTTTGAAATTAATGGTGAGAGTAGCCATGTATGGGTGGTTAAGAAGCCAGATTTTTAACAGATCATTTCATATGTTTTCTTGATTTGCTTTAAATCCATGGATTATTATCCAAAAGGTCAGTTGGGTGTAAGATAAATTAGTCTTTGAAAGGAAAAGAAAATGCTTGACATTGATGTTGTCGTTTTGGCTTCCATTTTCATACACTGAGAATAAAGGCAGGGCTTTTTGTGAGGGTTTCTTCATTGTCGTAGGATGTAGAATTCATCTTCTGTTTTTTAAGCTGGAATTATTTTATTCTTTTTAAATTTCAGTTTTACTCACTGGGTACATGGGGGGAAAATGCCTAGTCATAAACTGTTTGGACTCTTGAGGCTTACTGTCTAGTAAAAGAGGTGAAAGATACAGCTACATATAACTCTACAGGGAGGCCATCAAGTCTGGAAACATAGGCGAATACATAATAAACGGTTTACTGCCATGTTATGACACGGGATTTAAAAATATCATTTATTTTTTTCTACATTTTATGACCACTCTGTATAAAAGGGTACATTGTGACAAGAGGCATATCGGCAAATTTGTAGGAAATTTAAGAAGAATGAAAGATTCCATTTAGCTTGAGATTAAGCAGGGCATTGTGGAGAAGGGCACATTAAAGCGAGTCTCCGAAGCTGAGTGAGACATTCCAGAGACTGGGTGAAAAGTGTATTCCACGCCATGGTATCTAAATTTTCTTTTTTATCCCCCCTCCTCCTGCCTTTGACCAGGATCGCAAAAGTGGCCGCACAGCCCTGCATTTGGCAGCCGAAGAAGCAAATCTGGAACTCATTCGCCTGTTTCTGGAGCTGCCCAGTTGCCTGTCTTTTGTGAATGCAAAGGTACTTTGAGAAAGCTTCAATAACCACACCAGAGTTGGAATGGCCTTCTGTGCACCTTCTCTGAGTATTTGAGCTCCTTTCATGGGATTTCCTCCTTCCTGATGTATGGTGTTCCATTCTTTCTCTTCAGGCTTACAATGGCAACACTGCCCTCCATGTTGCTGCCAGCCTGCAGTATCGGTTGACGCAATTGGATGCCGTCCGCCTGTTGATGAGGAAGGGAGCAGACCCAAGTACTCGGAACTTGGAGAACGAACAGCCAGTGCATTTGGTTCCTGATGGCCCTGTGGGAGAACAGGTGAGAGGCACGGGAGGGAGAGGAAGTACTTTTTGGCACCCCAGTCTAAAACATAAAGGGAGCTGAGGCTGTGCAGGTCCAAGGCCAGCTGTTGCTCTTCAGGTGGGCTCTGTCAGTGTGTGTCTCACAGTAGCTTGGAGTTACTCTTCCTTTGGAAACAGAGCAATTAAGAAATTTATCTGTAGACTCAAAATGGTTAGAGGTCAGGTAGTCGTCTTTTCTGTGACACAAACTTAGGTTTAGAGTAAGTCAGAATGGTTTAAGGTTCAGAAAGGGAAGGTACGAAGGTTCCTGCAGATACCAAGGAAAGAGAATCTTAGTTTCGTAAGGTGTGTGCCTTCACATGTTGTGGATATTAAATGAGTTGTTATTTGTGGAGTGCTCGGAATAGTCGCAGGCACAGAGTAAGAGCTCAGGGAACTTCAGTAGTTAGAAGTATTTCTATTTACGAAGTGATACTGAACAAAAAATGGAAAGGTTACTTACGTAATTTCAAACCTAGAAATATACTTTAAACGGAATGAATGCTTTACTCATCAAGTGTGCTTATATGTTATTGAGGATTGCTAGTTTCATGAGTAAATAAGGACTTACTCCTTTAAGAATTTGAAAGGTTTTTGATGGAAATCCTTTCCTGGGAGGAATGAGGTGGATTGTGGCTGTGTACCGGTAGGGCATTACATACTTTGCTAATCATGAAATACTTTGATTCTGAGCTGTCATTATGACCACAATGTTACAGGAGCCCCTTTGAAGAGCTCTTTGTAAAGAAAAAGTCTTTTGATAGTTTGCAAAGAGTTTTCATGTGTATAGTTTAATGTTAGAAGAACTTTGCAACTTCCAAGTTTCAGCTGAAAAAATTGATATTCAGAGAGGTTCCAAGGACCAGAACCATCATTAACTTATAAAAGGCAGAGTCTGGCTGGGCGCGGTGGCTCAAGCCTGTAATCCCAGCACTTTGGGAGGCCAAGGCAGGTGGATCACAAGGTCAAGAGATCGAGACCATCCTGGTCAACATGGTGAAACCCCATCTCTACTAAAAATACAAAAAATTAGCTGGGCATGGTGGCGCGTGCCTGTAATCCCAGCTACTCAGGAGGCTGAGGCAGGAGAATTGCCTGAACCCAGGAGGCGGAGGTTGCGGTGAGCCGAGATCGCGCCATTGCATCCCAGCCTGGGTAACAAAAGTGAAACTCAGTCTCAAAAAAAAAAAAAAAAACCAAAAACAAACAAACAAACAAAAAAGGCAGAGTCCCAGTCCCAGTGTTTGCTCCTGCTTCCCTGTCTGTAGAGTCCTAGGGATGATTGACGTGTTGAGCCATTTAACTCTTCATTAAATGTTTTCAGATTATTCTCTTTGTTGCTTTGGTATTCTGTGTATTCTGGGCAGGTCGCTGGTCTTCTCCCTTCCTTGTATTGGCAGCCTGTGGTCGTGGGTTTCGTCCTAGCAGCTATCAGTTGTATCCCCTACCCCAGTCTCCTTTCTTCTGAATTGCTGCTGCTAATCTGCTGTAGGCTGAGAGATAGAAAATAAAATCTGTCAGACCGAGGTATAAAATGAATCACTCTGAATGAGCCGGGATCTTTTCTGTGATCCACGAAGTTAAGTGCAGATGCCTTAATACTTGGGTATCATGACAGCTGTTTTGACTCGAATGCATTAGAGATTTACTTTTGTGTGTGTTATAAAGTGGGTTTTGTGTTCCTGTTAGTTGAGGCTGACTTCAAGATTAGTGAGATATTGTAATATGCCTTAATTACTACCTTATATTAAATGTTCTCGCAAATAGCAAGAGTAAAGATTAGGAAGAGAACCTGGGTGTTATTTAAATTTATGGAAATTTTTAACTTCAGATAATTTTTAATGGAGGTATTTTACTTTCTTGGACCCAAAGATTATTATAGGAGATCCAAAATAAGCTTTAAAAGGAGTTTAGGATTTTTAAAAGTCACCTTAAAATCTTGACAAGCATTGTGTGTATTTCTTTGTATACCTACAAGATAATAGGAGTAGTGTAGCATGTATAAGAAAGGAATAAAACTCAGAAGGAAATGCACCATATTGTCCATAAGAAATAAACCTCATAAATTGTATTTATTTCTCTTCCAGATCCGACGTATCCTGAAGGGAAAGTCCATTCAGCAGAGAGCTCCACCGTATTAGCTCCATTAACCTGGAGCCCTGGCTAGCAACACTCACTGTCAGTTAGGCAGTCCTGATGTATCTGTACATAGACCATTTGCCTTGTATTGGCAAATGTAAGTTGTTTCTATGAAACAAACATATTTAGTTCACTATTATATAGTGGGTTATATTAAAAGAAAACAAGAAAAATATCTAATTTCTCTTGGCAGATTTGCATATTTCCTACCCAGGTATCTGGGATCCAGACATCTGAATTTGATCTGAATGGTAACATTGCCTTCAATCGACAGTAGCTTTTGAGTAGGAAAGGACTTGGATTTGTGGCACAGAGCATTATTCATGTAGCTATTGCCGGTCTCAAAGCAAAGTAAATTGTGAATGGTTCTTTAAGAAAAACGAAAGCAAGTGAAAGGAAAAAGGTAAATACGGCATTTAGGCTCCATTTGGCCTGATGCAGTACCTGGGAGTTACTGGCATTGGAGAGGCTTCAGTCATTGGACTAGATGAAAGGTGTCCATGTTTAGAATTTGATCCTTGTAAACTGTATATAATTGTTATTTTTGTCGTTAAAACTATTGTACATACTTGGTCATTAACATGGTCATATTTGAAATGTATAAGTCTAAAGTAGAAAAGAACAAGTGAATTTTTGCTATTTAAAAAATTTTTACAATTCTAAGGAGTTTTTATTGCATGATCATGAAGTCTTTGTAGATAAAGCAGATGGGGAGTTGTGGAGTTGTTCATTTAGTGGCTGAAAGATAGATTTGAATTGTGAAGATGCTTTTCCTCATGCATTGCAATTAGACATTATTTGTAGGGAATTGCATGCTTTTTCTTTTTTTATCCCGAGACAGGGTCTTGCTCTGGCACCCAGGCTTGAGTGCAGTAGCGTGATCCTGGCTCACTTCAGCCTTGACTTCCTGGGCTCAAGTGATCCTCCCATCTCAGCCTCCTGTGTACCTGGCACTACAGGTGTGCACTACTATGTGTGACTAATTTTTTTACTTTTTGTAGAGGCAAGATCTTGCCACCTTGCCCAGGCTGGTCTTGAACTCCTGAGCTCAAGCCATCTGCCTGCCTTAGCCTCCCAAAATGGTGGGATTACAGGAGTGAGCCACCATGCCCAGTTGGCAATTGTATGCTCTTGAAGAGAACATCTCTTTATGGCTTACCCTCTAGAGTTTCTGATTTATGTGTTCTGTTGAAATTTTTGTTTTTTTACCTTTATAGAAACAAAAAGTCAATATTGAAGTATGTCTTCCTATGATCTATTGTCAAATGATGATAATGTGCTGTTATGTTTTATATAGTATCATTCAGAAAAAGTTATATTTTTAAATAACATTCTATTAACATTTTTCTTACCTCTGGCATACCTGAGGAATGCATTTGGCTTTGATTACACACTAAGTTTGTGTAATAAATTTGACTCATTAAAAACTTTTTTTTTTGAATGAGAAATCTCATTAGTGACTGACTACCTTATCTTTGCAGCTGAGTACTTAAATTCTTTTTTAAAAGATACCCTTTGGATTGATCACATTGTTTGACCCATTATGTCTTGTAGACACATTGGTTATAATCACCTTGTATCTCTAAATATGGTGTGATATGAACCAACCCATTCACATTGGAAAAACTGACGGTTTTAAATAAACTAATTCACTAATATTATTTGTCTTATTTGTGTTTTCTTTTCCCAGTGCCTTATTTATATTTCCCTAGGTAGAAAAAGTACTATTAATGACAACTTTAAATACCTTTGAGTTAGTTAATATATCTTAATTTGGTTTTTTTGGAGAACATGTTTCCTGAAGGTATAAAAGATTTAACATCAAAATCTATTTGCTAAGTTTACTAGTAGAGAGGTGTGTTAGGTTCTGAAAATATGGAAGTTTAACAGATGCTTTCGATCATTCAGATGCTTATATGCGGAAAAAAACCCAACAAGCTAAGTGGGAGCAGTGAATCACAGGAAAAACAGTTTGGAGATTCCAGGATCATCCTTAGAGGGATGTAAACCTGGAAAAGATTCTTCACCTTCCCTGCAAGCCATTTTGATGTGTGAGAACAAACACATCATTATCTGTCAGTATGTCATTATAATTACTGCACATATTTTCTAGTTCTTAAATGAGCCTCTTTTGAGAATCTGGTGAAAGCTATGAATCCTTTCCCTGGAAAAATGCAAGTAGGCTTCACAGCCTTCAGAAGACCATGACTCACAAGTTAAGAATCCCGTTTCATTTCTGCACATCAAATAATACTTTTTCTTCTTTCATATAATGAAATTTTAAGAGCAATTTGCTTTGTAGATGCAACCTGTTAACCAGAACAGCAGAAGTGATGAACTCCCACTGAACACAGCTCTACAGTGAGCTTTACCTAAGTGAGCGGTTATGTTCTCTCTTAATCCCAAATTCTCTCGTAATGAATTGAACCAGGATCTAGCAAGGATGTTTGTGTGCGCGTGCAAAGATCTGAATAATCTGAGGTGGAGACGTAAGACATTTGTTAGCCCTAAGATGCTTACGTGAGAGACGTGGCATGTACTTTATTAGGTAGACTATGTTAAGTAGCATTAAAAAAGAAGTATAGAGATTCAGAAGGGACATTTCTTTTTGACTGGGGAGGATTCAAGGTAGAACATTTGTACTGTATCTTCTGAATAGTTGATTTGGATGTTCATACAAAGGGAGGAGAGGCAGGTGAAGGAAAGAAACAGCATGAACCAAGGCATAGTCATTTGTGGGAATAGCAGGTGATTTTCATATGGTTTAGTTAGAATCTGGAACGGCCAATAAGATTCATCTTGTGGTCCACCTCTGGTAATATTCTCAAGTTGAGAAAGATCCTCAGGCTTGTAGGGGCTTGTCAGAGAGGGTGCTGTGATTGATTCGTGGTATCTGCCACAGGGATATGGGAAATGGCTCTGGATTGGATACATCTAAGCCTCACAGCAGCCAAGACTGCTATTGCTGCGAATTCAGTGCCTAGCACAGTGCCTGGCACATGGAAGTAGTTCATAAAATACTGGTTAAATGAGTGGACGAATGCATGCCCATCCTGGGTAGAGTCGCTGGTTTCGTTTGGGGAGGTGATGTTATGCTATTCATTACTAACGAATTATTGACTATCAATGGTTCTGAATTTAATTCTGCCACATGATTTCACAGGGACATGGATGACATGTTAATAAAAATGGGCATAGTTGGGTTCACTAAAGAAAAAAATCAGGCAGTCTGCAAAGGACTGTTAGTGCTGTAGCTGGATATTGACTGAGGAAACCCTGCAAGAGTCAGAGATCAAATCTTGCAGCTCAATTTGTTAGTCAAATCAGCAACAGTTAATATCTTTTCTGTATTTTTACTTAGTCAGGGCAGGAGAATTTCCTCAGACTTCTCTGACTTTTAATAAATGTCAACTTCCTAAACATTCTACCACTAACTTCCGTTTTCTGATAACCTCAGTTGTTCCATATTGAATATGACCTCACAGAAATCTGCTTCAGCCACTGGCTAAATTCGCGGTGGTTCCTCTGCCATCCGGCCTGGGTACAAGGTTTGAGATTACTTGTAACCATGCTACTAGGTTTTGGCTGTTCATGCTGGTGCCCTGGATTAAACCTTGAGAGGAGAGGGGACACTGCCTTATTTGTCATCAGAGGCCCTGCACCTAGCACAGTATCTGACACATTGTAGACATTCAGTTAATAGTTCCTAAATTAAATTTAATGTTAAGACTTTGTAAAATGTATTTTTTCTTGATGTGTTTTATTCTTCAGTGTGTAAATGTTTTTATTATTCACATACAGTTTATGACTTAATCCAGAAGTACTTTTGTGCTTCCAGCCTTTGGAGTCTGTGCAGACCCAGAAACACTGCATGGATGGCACGTTTCTAGGAGGAGTAAGATTGGTTGTTTTCTTTTTGTTTTTTTGAGAAGGAGTCTTCCTCTCTTGCCCAGGCTGGAGTGCAGTGGCATGATCTTGGCTCATTGCAGCCTCCACTTCCCAGGTTCAAGCAATTCTCATGTCTCAGCCTCCTGAGTAGCTGAAATTACAGGCACATGCCACCGCCCCTGGCTAATGTTTTTGTATTTTTAATAGAGATGGGTTTCGCCATGTTGGCCAGGCTGGTCTCGAACTCCTGGCCTCAAGTGATCCGCCCACCTCAGCCTCCCAAAGTGCTGGGATTACAGGCATGAGCCATCGTGCCCAGCTGATTGTAGATTCCTCTCAAAATGTGTCTTGCTTTCTTCTTTGTACTCCTTGTCCTCTGGTCTGTGCTCCCTGCTCTCTCTATCACACCACTCCCCTTACCTATCAGTCCAAGAGAGTTTGCAGATAAGTTAATGCTACTGAGTGCCCTAGGTTCAAGGTTTCAGTCTTTGGTGGACATTCCTATCTTGTGTGAAGCTTGTTAAACATGCAAATGCCCAGGCCCCATCCCAGTCTTCCTGGATCAAAATCTCCAGGGTTTTCAGGGCTTCTGGCAGGTTATATGTGGTGATTCTAGCGCAGTTTTAGTCTAAATTAATTAGGGAATGCAGACTTTGGAGAGTAGCTGTGGTTGGGCAGTCACCACATGATGGTAACAGAATGGGTTGCTGGAATGCCTATAGGGTTGAACTAGCAGCTGATGAAGGTATGCAGCGTGCCAGGCACGTTGGATCCTATGGTATGAAAACCAGCTTTGAAGATACAATCGTGAGTCACCTCATTTTTTCCTTCCTGCTTTCAGAAAACGCTTTTCTAAGGTGACTCTCGTGTTTAAGTTTCTCAACTATATTAGTTTCCCAGGACTGTGTAACAAATAACCACAAACTTGGTGGGTTAACTCAGAGAAAAACATTTTGGCACAGTTCTGGAGGCCAGAATTCTCAAACCAAGGTGTTGGCAGCACCACCCTCCCTCCAAAGGCTCTAGGTGGAATTCATGCCTGCCTGTTCCAGCTTCCGACGACTGCAGGTGTTCCTCGCCTTGTGGGACTCTAACTCCAGCATCTGTGTCATCTCCACACGGCCTTCTCTTCTTCCTGTGTCTCCTCTCTGTGTATCTCTTACAAAGTCACTTACCACTGAATTTAGGGCCCACCTGAGTAATCCAGAATGACCTCATCTCAATATTTATTTTTGAGATGGAGTCTCTCTCTGTTACCCAGGCTGGAACGCAGTAGCATGATCTCAGCTCACTGCAAACTCCGCCTCCCAGGTTCAAGCAATCCTCTCGCCTCAGCCTCCCAAGTTGCTGGGGTTACAAGCATGTGCCAACATGTCCAGCTAATTTTTGCATTTTTAGTAAAGACGAGGTTTCACCATTTTGCCCAGGATGGTCCCCAACTCCTGACCTCAAATGATCTGCCTGCCTCGGCTTCCCAAAGTGCTGGGGTTACAGGTGTGAGCCACCATGTCTGACCACAATATTCTTAATTGTACAAAGACCCTTTTTCCGAATATGGTCACAGTCACAGGTTCTGAGGATTAGGATGTGGACATACATTTTGGGCAGCCTTAACTTAAAATTCACTACACCAGGAAAGAGGATTTATAATAATTTCCATTATTATTATTTCTCTTATAAAATAAGTAAGAATATTTCCTTTTTAAAGAATTATTTTATCATGGTAAGAATATTCTCCTTAGAAACTGTAAAGTGTACAATATATTATTGTTAGCTATAGGGAAAATGTTGTACAACAGATCTCTGGAACTTACAAGATAAATTTCTTTTTGAGCAATTCTATGGTCTGTTCAGAATCTATGAGTACCTTTTACATATTATTATTGATCTAGTGTATGGTAAAATATCTCTATTTCATTTATTAGCTATAATACCAAACATTGAACAGCTGACTCATTTACCATTGATAAACTTTAAGAGAAGAAGAATATTTATTGAGCTGTAACTCAAAATTATGATAATGATTAAAAGCGCTTTAAGTATCTTAAACTTCCAACAAAGCTTTTATGATTCTCACCTGTCATTTTGCTTTCTGGTACAAACGTGAATGTGAATGAATCTGTTTCTCTTCACCTTGGATCACATTACCTCGAGCTGCCCATGTGGGAAGCAACAGGATCCCAAATCAAATTAAACCCTGAGCTCTACAGCATCTGATCTTGTCGATAACAGTAGTTAGTCACTGAAAACTGCACATGTTTAAAAGTAAAGGGTCAAATCCAGTTTGATACAATAACAATTGATTCCACTTTGCTAAAACTCAATTGAAATAGACCGTTTTAGGTCTAGATATTATCTTTTTAAGGATTCTGGCTATTGGCCCAGAAATAAAGATTTCAGCAGCTCTGGAAACTTAGTAGCCAGATCTAGCATGTGTTTACCCTTTGGAACAGCAGAGTTCTTGTAGGCTTGACAATTGGGACAAATTTCAGGTTGTGACCCAACACTAGATTCCTTAGCTTATTTGGTTTGGGGTTTACATTTTAAATCACGATTTATTTTTATCAATTCATGCTATATTAATTCTCATGGCTTGCTCTCCCTATTATTTGCAGCCAGCCATCTCTGGGGTAGGACTTGAATTTCAAGTGATTGCATAAGACTGTAGGGTACTTCCTGATTGGGCTTCGTGGAAGCCCCAGGTGTTGACGGCTCTGGAGGTGAACTGCTCGTTTCTTCCAGCACTCTAGGGGTAGTTTTGGTGTTTTCTTCAGTAGGAGTGTGTCGGCTGAGAGTCTGCTTTTCCAACTTGGCTCCAAGGTTTTTTTTTTTTTTTTTTTCCATAGATATCATCTTTCATTTGTCTTTAAAGAAGGTATCCTTTTCTTTTTGCCCCCAAGAAGTATTCCTTCCAGAATACTTAAACATTTCCAAAAAGTTCTCCTTTCTAGACTCTCATAGATAGGGAAAAATTTGTCATCTTCAGGATAGCAATTTTGTCTGGTGTAACTTCTTATACATATATAAGAAAAATTCAAAAGATATCATTTGGAAAAAACAAGCATTTAGATGGTACCTCTACCCAAAATATTCCTGGAGATGTTTTTTTAAAAGACACATTTTTAGCCAGGTATGGTGGTACATGTCTGTGATGTCTGCTACTTGGAGGCTGAGGCGGGGGGACTGTCGGCGCACAGGAGTTCCGGGCTGTGGTAAGCCATCCATGATTGTGCCAATGTGGTATAATAAGATAGAGACACGGAAATTTAATTCACACACTCTAATCATACAGGCTAATGAGGCACATCATTTAAAGTGCAGGATTTATAGACAGCTGACAAGTTCCTCTTTTATGACATTATTCTATTTCCCTGCCTTTAGAAATCAATCAGTCTTGTTTCTTCCCTCAGCTAAAGTTATATGAAATCTGTTATCAAGGTCAAAATGTCTATTAATCAGTTAATAGGGTAGCTAAAAAAAATCTGTTAAATTTTTTTTTTTCTATTTTCTCTGTCACCACCCACATGTAGGTTTTCAAGACTTTATTCTCGGATTACCCAATACACTTAGAAACTTGACTTTTTATTATGGAAACATTCAAACCCACATACAAGTAGGCAGAATCGCATATTGAACACACATATCTATCATGAAACGTCATTAATTGTAAACATTTTGCATTTTTGTTTCTTCTTTCCCTCCATATATTTTCTACAATAAGTTAAAGCCCACTCGAAGCATCATAGATTGTCAGTAAAAATCACTAACAGATAAAGTAACTTGTGTTCCCCATAAATAGCCTTCTAATGATTTTTCCTCCAATCTTCCTGCTTTTCTTACCAATCCAAAATTTCCAACCACTTGGCATACTGTTAAAGAATCACAGAAAGGTTTTCAAAGGCTCAGTGCTGCCTGTTGACTCAAATGCAAACTTGTGTCCTGGTTTACAAAGCTATGTTAACCTTAGCTTGACCCTGACTGTCTAATGTTACCTCATTTTTCCCCAGCGGGGCTATCAGGTGAGCATCTTTACTGCATCAGCTGATGCTCTATTTATTCCTGTCTCTTGTCATGTCCTCGCCTCCCCAAATTCTGTGCATCCTAGAAAGCCCTGCTTGGGTGCCACTTTCTCTATTAAGCTTTTTCCAGCTTATACTGCCCTCTCCCTTCCCTGAACTCTTGGGATTGAAACACGATTCCTCTAACTTTCAGAGCTTTCCTCCTGCCCTACCCTCCCCTGCCCTGCCAACCCCTCCCCACCCCTCCCCTCTACTTCCTACTCCTCCCCTTCCCTTCCTACCCCTCCCCTCCCTTCCCCTTCCCCTTCCCTCCCCTCCTCTCCCCTCCCCTTCCTTCCTCTCCTCTCCCCTCCTCCTCTTCTCTTCTTTTTTCCTTTCTTTTCTTTTTTTTTCTTTCCAGGGTCACGCTGTGTCATCAGGCTGGAATGCAGTGGGATGATCATAGCTCACTGCAGCTTTGACCTCCTGGGGTCAAGTGATTCTCCCTCCTCAGCCTCCTGAGCAGCTGGGACTACAGGTGTGTACTACCACGCCTGGCTAATTTATGCTTGTTATAAAGAAGGAGGTCTCACTATATTGCCCAGGCCAGACTCTTGGCCTCAAGCAATCCTCCCTTCTTAGCCTCCCAAAGTGCTGGGATTACAGGTGTGTGCCACTGCAGCTCTGACTTTTTAAATACAACTTTAAAATGTCTGGGTGAGTGGCGTTTTTGAGGACACAAAGGTGAGTGTTGTGGATAGAATCTAGTATTGGAATGGTAGGCAGAATTCTAAGACTATCTATTGGATATGGAAGGCGGAATTCTAAGGCAGAATTCCCAGGGCTGACTTTGCCTCAGGCGTTACTCCTGTGATTCTGTTAGGATACACCGCAAAGGTGATTTTGCGAAGGTGAATAAATTAGTTACTAACCAGCTGACCTTAGGTTAGGGAAACCATTCAGGTGGACCTGATCTAATCACATGGGCCCTTTAAAATTGGAGAGTTTTCTTTGGCTGGAGGCAGAAGAGGAGACCCTAGAGACGCCAAGCCTGAGAAAGCACTCAACCTACAATTCCTGGCTTTGAGGATGGAGCAAGCGGGCAACAAGCCAAGGAATGTAAGTAATTTCTAAATACCCAAACAGAAAATGGAATCTCAGTCCTACATCCGCAAGGAACTGATTTCTGCTAACAAGCTGATTAAGCTTAGAAACAGATTCTTGCTGGGAGCCTCCAGATAGGAGCCCAGCCTTACTGACACCCGGAGTTTGGCTTTGTGTTGCTCCACAGAGAGAGTCAAGCCAACCCCACCCCGACTCTGACCTGCTGAACTGTGAGATAATACATGGGTGGTGTTTTGAGCTGCTAAATTGAGGGGTAATTTGTTATACAGCAATAGAAAGCAAATATGATATATAACATAGGGTTTGAGCTTATAGTGCAATTTTATGCATTTCCTGCTATTTTAATTAATGCTCCAAATCAGCAAGAGAGGTTTTCCAATAAATGGGGGCACTGGTCTTAGCATGTATGGTCATTACACAGGCCAGCAGTGTCTTTACAATATCTCACTTTAGTCCATCCCTTCCTCATTGCAGACAGAAAAATTTCAAGGAAGAGAAAGTTTAGCTTCTATTGCAAGTGTTTTCAAAAGAATCTATAAAAAGGTCCCGGAGCAGGGGAAGGGGCTTAGGACAGCGAATGTGACCAGTCGTAGCATCAGCTCACTGCATTGCCAGACTGTCACCATTTGCCTCTACTGTGAGAGTAGGGCATATTTTGTGGGGTAGCGGTCTCCAACCTTTTCTTTCGTGGAAGACAATTTTTCCAGGGATGGGGTGTGGGTGGGCGGATGGTTTGGGATGAAACTGTTCAGCTTCAGATCATCAGGCATTAGATTCTAAACAGGAGCAAGCAACCTGGATTCCTTGCATGTGCAGTTCGCAATAGGGTTCTCGCTCCTATGAGACTCGAAATGCCGGAGGCTGATCTGACAGGAGGCGGAGCTCAGGCGGTAGTGCTCACTCGCCCATCCCTGTACCAGTTCATGGCCCAGGAGTTGCGGAACCCTGTTGGAGGGAAAGAACCCCTTAGCTCTGCAGCAACCAGGATTTCAGATGGTACAACTTGTTTAATAAATACAGACACACTCACTTCAGAGACTGACCAACAAATAGTTGCTGAGAGCTGCTGGAACTAAGATGAGAACTTAAGTCACAGTTTCTTCTGCAGCCTAGAATCACAGATGATGCACGGGGTCTTTATTAGCTTAATCGGGATCTATTCCTCCAGCTGTGCACATGGAAATGAAGGCATGATTAGACATGCAGTTGTAGTGCCTTTGTGTGATTCATAAAGAACTCGTTCCTTATAATATTTATTTCTGAATGACTCATTAAAGAATGATGATGAAAACAATAAGGCTTCTAATTTAAAGTGTTATGCAAGTGTTCTTTTAAAAATCAACTTTGGGCAGGGCGCGGTGGCTCACGCCTGTAATCCCAGCACTTTGGGAGGCCAAGGCAGGTGGATCACAAGGTCAAGAGATAGAGACCATCTTGGCTAACACCGTGAAACCCCATCTCTACCAAAAATACAAAAAATTAGCCAGGCATGGTGGAATGCACCTGTAGTCTCAGCTGCTAGGGAGGCTGAGGCAGGAGAATCGCTTGAACCTGGGAGGCAGAGGTTGCAGTGAGTTGAGATTGTGCCACTGCCCTCCAGCCTGGGCGACAGAGCAAGACTGTAAAAAACAAAACAAAACAAAAAAACCAACTTTACAAGGTGTAATTAATGCATAAATTTTAAGTGTACAGTTAACGAATGTATACACCTATGTAAACACCACCCAATCAATATACAGAACATTTTTATCATCCCAGAAATTTCCTTCATGTCCCTTTGCAGTCAGTCTCTCCTTCAACACAGCTATTGATCTGATTTCTATTATATCATTGTAGATTAGTTTTTACCTCTTCAGGTAAAATAGAATCATAGAGTCTGTACTATTTTCTGGATTTCTTTCACTCAGCGTGATATTTTTGAGATCAATCCACATTGGTGCATTTATCACTCAAGTATATTTCTATTGCTGAGTAGAATTCCGTTGCACTAATAACACAATTTGTTAGTCATTCACCTATTAGTGGATATGTGGATTTGTTTCCAGTTTGGGACTATTATTGAATAAAGTTGATATGAACAGTCTTTGTGTGGACATATGTTTTCATTTCATTTAAAAGTTTTAGAAGTGAAGTACCTGATTCATATAAGTGTATGTTTAGCCTTAAAAGAAATGGTCAAACTCTTTTTTAAAATGGTTGTATCATTTTTCTCTCCTAATAGCAATGCAGAAGAGATTTCTCAATCTTCTCCTAAACTTGATATTGCCAGTCTTTTTAATAGCAGCCCTTCTAATCAATGTGTAGTATTATCTTATAGATTTAATTTCCCTGGTGAATAATGATGTTGAGCATCTCTTGTTAGTGAAGAATCTGTTCAAGTTTTTGTCCATTAAAATAATTAGATTGTTTGTATTTTTGAGTTGTAACAGTTTGTAAAAACATATATTCCAGATATAAATGTATTTTTAGATAGACGTTTTCTTTTTTTTTTTTTTTTACTTTTTAAATGGTTTTATTTTATGTGCAAATAATGAACAGATGTTGTACCCATAAATTCTACTTTCCAAAAACAGGAGCTTTTTAAAAGAAAACCACGTACGTTTTAAAAGGCATTGGGATTCCTCTGCTTCTAGATCATTGGTAGATTAGAAAAATAAAGTTTGTCCTCCCAGGAATCACAAGTTGGAACTGAGTATTCTCCGAAGTGGAAATTCTAGAGTGTAGTGTCACTGCAGACAAAGATTACTCAGTTCTCATCCCCAACAACCAAAACTACCTATTGGAAGGGTTAAACCAGGTCAAAACAGTCCAGCACAATTAGGCTTCATCAAACAATATCATTATGCTCTTCTGAGATGCAAATAAACCAAAACAGGAAATATTAAAATCAAAATAGTATTTGATACTGTAATACAAATTGTTATTCCCTTGTCGTATCCCCCCTTCTATAACATTAATAAAGGGAATATTTTACTGCAAATAATATTTTATTTTCTACATCGCTAACCATGAATTTTTGCCATTCTTTATTATACAAAGGCTGTCCTGTGCCATTATTCAAATGGAATAAGCATTTTACATCCACAATTCACTTCTATAGTTATAAGCAGAATTTTCATGATTTACGTAAGTACATCTGTCAGTGAAGATTTAACACTGAGATGCAATGTAACATCAGTAACATCTGATGTTTTATAGATGGCAATGTAGAAAAGATATATTTTAATCACTTTTCATTTAAGTAACCTTATATAAAAAATAAACTAATAATTTAGCAGTTCCAAGTTTCCAAAGGGCATTTTCAAACGCACATAAAAGAAATGGTTACAGAGATTTTTAAGAAGCGTCTTCCATATCCACATCCTCTTGCAACTGCTGTACCATTTTCTCTTCCAAATGCTTCCCTTTGCCTGCAAGAGGGGCTCGGATAAGATGGATGTTTTGCTTGACTTCTTTGATATCCTGAACTTTCTGTAGCTCTTTATTTTTCTTCAGTCTGTTCATTATAAATTTAGCTTGGCGTTTCTGTTTGATCTCTTCAACTCTCTTCATTGCATCAATAGTTTTATTCCATAGTTCTCGCTGGTATTTGATAGGTTCATTTCTACGCTTTTCAAATTCAAATGAATTATCCACTGTAAGCTCTTTACCAGCTGCTTTCCGGAATGCTTTGGTCCACCTAACTTTGCGAGGATTGCGCTTCTTTTTAAAGTTTTTATGACATTTAGATTTACAAAATCTGAACACCTTGCAATCGTTGCGTACGAACATCATGCCGTGGCCAGGGTAGATGGGCCCGGAACAGAAATAACACTTCTCGATACGCATGTTGAACCCGCGTGGGTCCCCACTGACCAAACGCCAAGCTTCGAAGGAAGTCTAGATAGACGTTTTCTAAGAATTTCTCCCAGTCTGTGGTTTGCCTTTTTATCACTTCTTAAAAAATTATTTGGCCCCATTTTCATTTGCTTCTTCTTCTGGGTCTCTAATTACACTGAATTATACTATTTTCTATTGTCCTGCACGTCTCTGAGGATCTGTTTAGTTTTCTTGAATCTATTTGCTCTCCATCATTAGCCTGAGTAGTTTCTATCAGCCTGTTTTTCTGCGTTCACTCAACTTCACTGCCTTTCTTCTGCCATCTCCGATCTACTGTGATTGTTCTTTTTTTGGTCATTACACCTTTCAGTTTCAGTATTTCTATATAGTTCTTTTTTATAGTTTACATTTCCCTGCTGATATTTTTCTTTTTCATTAAACCAATACTTTGATTCTTTGAACATACATCATTTAATTCTTTGAGCCATATTTGTAGGTGCTGCTTTTAAAGTCTTTCCTTGTGGCTAGCGCCAGTAATCCCAGCATTTTGGGAGGCTGAGGTGGGTGGATCACCTGAGGTTGGGAGTTTGAGACCAGCCTAATGTGGAGAAACCCTGTCTCTCTACTAAAAATACAAGATTAGCCAGGTGTGGTGGCACATGTCTGTAATCCCAGCTACCCGGGAGGCTGAGGCAGGAGAATCGCTTGAACCCAGGAGGTAGAGGTTGCAGTGAGCTGAGATTGCACCATTGCACTGCAGCCTAGGCAACAAGAGCAAAACTCGGTCTCAAAAAAAAAAAAAAAAAAAAAAGAAAGAAAAGACAGTCCTTTCTTGTATTCTAAACCCAGCATCTCAGTAATGTCAAGATGTATTTTCTCTTTGACTGTGGGTCATGTTTGCCATTTTAAAAAATATCTACCAATTTTTAAATCGTATACTGGACATTGTTGAGGATACGTTGTGTAGACTTTAGTCTCTAGATTTTGTTTCCTTCCTTTGAGAAGTGTTGCCCTGTCTTCTATTAGGCAGTCCCATTACCTGCGGGTTACCTTTGAGAAGTGTTGCCCTGTCTTCTATTAGGCAGTCCCATTACCTGCGGGTTACCTTTGAGAAGTGTTGCCCTGTCTTCTATTAGGCAGTCCCATTACCTGCGGGTTACCTTTGAGAAGTGTTG